GAAACTCACTCATTTCTTCAGGAGATCAAAGGAGGCATATGCTTCCAGGGTTGGGGTTGAAAGGGTGGTAGTGATGGTAGTACGGAGGGAGAAAGGGTGGTATGAAGATTCTTCCTGCTGCCCAGAACTGCTGTGGAGCTCAAAATAACTACGGGGAGCCATGTCATGTTGTCACGTAATCAACGTTTTCCAATGTTTTCAATCATAAGCATCCAAATTGCTTCATGTTTCCAGGAATATGATGGGGCTCAGAAAGTACAGTGCGCTGAAGTACAGAAGAACCTTCAGTCTTCTATCACTGTGCTATAACTTCACCCTTCAATGGTCTTTTCCAGTGGTGGGGCCTAGAAAGTACTTGTTATACATGACTCAAAAGAGCCCCAAATAACAAAAACATAAACAGTTGTTACAATGTCAATTCCAATTCCTCGCAATGCCATGTGTTTCAGAGGGGGCGCTGTGCACCATATAGTTTTCAATGGCTGTTTTTCTGTCAAGCCTTTCTTCCAGGTGTGTTGGGCAGACTCTGCCTCCAGCTTGTTGGTTAAGAGACAGGAGTTTACCATTGGTGCGGCTCTTAGACATGATTATGATATCTTAAATACACACAGTGACTTCAATGCTTTTTAAAACTTCGGTTTCTGTTCTTTCATGTTGTTTTCACTAAAAATCTGTGGTTAATACGTTTTCTAAAAACCTTTTTTTTTAAACAAAAATACATTTCTAATCTTCACTGATAAGTCTACTAATTAGAGAATAATGTGGAAGACCTCTCAAAACCTTTCTCTTCAGAGAATAATCATAACAAATTCATTCATTAATTGAGCAGATATAATAAGATACAGTAATGTCTCAATTTTATACAATTTAAATATTTAAGCAAAGTGAAATACACCCACTACTTGTATTGAAAATATTCACAAAATGACTATAGAGGGAGGAATTAAACAGTGAATGTTGTTTAAGATTAATAGACCAGAGATTTCAACCTCAGTCTTAAAAATGAACCAAAAACAAACAAAAAGGCCAAACACATTGCCGTCGAGTTGATGTCAACACATAGTGCCCCTGTAGGACAGGGTAGAACTGCCTCTGTGGGTTCAGGAGACTATAATTCCTTACAGGAGTATCAAGCCTTGTCTTTCTCGTGCTGAATTGTTGGTGGTCTTGAACTGCTGACTTAGTGGTTAGCAGCCTAACGTGTTACTACTACACTTTCAAGGCTCCTCTCCAAGAATGGACAAGGATTCAATTCAAGTGAAATTTGACTCTAGCTAAGAAAGAAAACGTATTTTTAATTGCTTAGTAATCATATAATGTCTTCTCAAAGCATTCTAAATTATTTTTGTATGTATAAAAAAATATGCCACCAAAACATGTATCATTGCATATGAATATCATACCTGGTGTGCTTTAGGAAGAAGTGAACCGGGTGGTTTTTTCCTGAGTACGTATGCTTGAATGCCCTTCTGGAGATAGAAGGTTGGATTGGACTGTCCTAATCTGAAAAAGAGTAGAGAAAGGGTCAGTTACAAAAATACATAAATACCAGAAGCAGCATGAAATAAAATAAATCCAACGCAATGCTAGCAAGTCAAGAGGGATGCTACCAGCAGCCTTGAGCAGGAATCGGTGTATGATAATAAAGCAGAAAATCTCACAGTCTGAAAAGCATGACTTTTTTTTCAGAAGAACTTCTAGAACAATGTCTAGATCCAAGGCAATGAAGGGAGGAAGAAGGTATTTGGGGTAACAAATCAGAAAACTAATGAAAAGATGCTGAAGAACTGGATTTGTAACCACTGATCTGTCCCTGGAACAGACAATCCCATATGTGTGGCTGCAGCTACCACCCAAGTCAGCTTGCTACAATGGAAGCTCTAATGACCAATGTGGCAGGTGTCAGAACAGGTATGACAAGGAACATACCAGGACAAAGGAACAGGATCCCAGCTAACAACACAAAGAGCAGCTCTCTCCACTAGGGGAACAGAAATGTTTACAAAGACTAAGGAAATATACTCCAGCTACAAAAACTACTCAGTCTAGACCCTCACTTTCAATATGTAGACAAGAAGCACCCGCTTCTGAAACATCTAATAACATGGAAGAAAAATCCAAACAAAATAAACAGAAGAATCAGTCCCTGAGGTAACGAGGAAAGTGAAAAGTTGTTGACATGAGCATAAGGAATAATTTCTAAGACATTGAACACATAAATTATCCATAAAAACAATAAAAAATGAGCTGCTAAGATATAATTAGAGTCTTGGTGGTAGGAAAACTAGCAAGTTGACACAAGAATCTCCTGCACCTTTAAATAAAAAAAAAGAATGATAAGTTAAAGAGCAGGCTGGATGCAGCTGAAGATCAAATTAGTGTGTTAAAATACCATGTGAGGTAGCTTCCGAGTACACAGGGCAAAACAAGCAGAGGAATGAAAAATGTGGTAGAAACATTAAGAGATTCAAAAATTATAGGTGGACATATGTGAGTATATAACGCATACACTTGAGTATAAGCCGGCCTGAATATGAGCCGAGGCACCTAATTTGACCACAAAAACTGCATTTTAAAATGTGCTGAAAAACTCAGCTTAAACACGAGTATATACGGTATATGTAATTTTTGGGGTGGTGGTGAGTCACTATTTAACCCACTACACAGGGGGACTCTGGAGTGTAAGTTTGGACTTTGGAGCATTGTCACACCCAAAGGTAAGGATGCTGAAGTTGTCATTTCCTGAACCCACTGGGTTCAGGGACCATCTCAGGTGTGACAACATTCAAGTCAAAAAAGGTTCTGATAACCAGATGGCCCCTAAAGAGCCACAATTGTTGGCTGCTGGAAGATGTTTTAGATTGAATTTCTTGTCCCATGAAAGTATGTATTTAGATCCTAACCCCTATATCTGTGGCTAATGATCCCTGGTGACACAGTGAGGTAAGTACTTGCCTGCTAACCATTAGGTCAGCAGTAAAAGCCCACCAGGAACTTTGTGGGAGAAAGATGAGACTCTCAGAAAGACTGGCAGTCTCGAAAACCCATGGAGCAGTTCTCTGTCCTATAGGGTCCCTGTGAGTTTGAATTGACCCAATGACAGTGGATTTGGTTTTCTAGTTTAAAGCTGTGGCTATAATCCCATCTGGGAAAAGTTTTGTTTTTGTTGTTCTGTTAAGAGGCCTTATCACTGTATGTTTTAAGCCAAACACCTTTAAGCAGAGCAGAACACAAAACCAAGGTGGGGGAAGAGAGGTGCCGTGTCATGGTGCAGATCTCACAGGAGCAGAAATTTAAAAGATGTATGAACCTTCCTCGGGCATAGACTGCCTGGTGGGGTTCGCAAATGCAATGTCGCTGAAAGGAACTACAGGGAGCAGAATGAAGGTTGAACACAATAGTGGGACAGGAGGACAGTAAACGGAAATAGAGGAAAGAACTAGGAGGCATGAATATAGGCATGTACATATATAATATTTGTACATATGTACATATGTAAATATTAATATATAACGATAGGGATATAAGCCTGTGTACATATATTTCTAAGTTAAGTATTAAGGTAGCAGACGGACATTGGGCCTCTACTTAAGTCCTCCCTCAACACAAGAAACTTTGCTCCAATAACCCCGCATTCTGCGATGCTCACCTTTCTGACACCATTGCTGAAGACAAAATGGGTGCACAAGCTAATGTGGTGTGCTGGTGCCTGGCTATCACAAGATATAGCATCTGGGATCTTAAAGGCTTGAAGTTAAACAAGCGGCCATCTAGCTGAGAAGCAACAAAGCCCACATGGAAAAAGCACCCAAGTAATCACGAGGTGTCGAGGGGATCTGATATCAGGCATCAGAAGACCCAAAACGAGCAACCATTTTGATGTGAACAAGAGGGGTCAGAAATGGAGACCCAAAGCCCATCTGTAGACAATTGGACATCCCTTCACAGAAGTGTCCCAAGGAAGGGACGAGCCAGTCAGGGCATAGTATAACACCGACGAAACACACACATTCCTCTAGTTCTTTAATGCTTTCTCCCCCACCCACCCCAACTATCATGACCCCAGTGCCATCTTACAAATCCAGCAAGACCAGAGTGTGTACACTGGTACAGATAAGAGCTCTCGACACACAGAATTCAGGACAGATAAACCCCTCAGGGCCAATAATGAAAGTAGTTATACCATGAGGTTAGGGGGAAGATGGGGAGGGGAGAAGGATAAAGGGGGAACTGATCAAAATGATTGACATACACCATGCCTCAAGGGGGACAAACAACAGAAACGTGGGTGAAGGGAGACAGTGGATGGTGTAAAATATGAAAATAAAAATAATTTATAAATTATCAAGGGTTCACGAAGGTAGGAGGGCATGGGAGAGGGGGGGAAGAGGAGCTGATACCAAGGGTTCAAGTAGAAAGAAAATATTTTGGAAATGATGATGACAACATATGTACAAATGTGCTTGATACAATTAGTACGTCAATTGTTATAAGAGCTGTAGAAGCCCCCAATAAAATGATTTATTAACATTTTTTTTTAAAAAAGAACCTTCCTCCAGAGGCAGTAGAGAAAGGAAATCTTCCTCTAGAGAAAATCCTCTAAATTCAAACATCTAGTCTCCTAAACTGTGAGCAAATGCATTTGTTTGTCTAAGACACCCACTTATAGTATTTCTATTATAGCTACATCAGATCACAGACAGTAGCAAAAGTCACCAACACCAGGGTGGACGAAGGATCCAAGAGGGCCTGGGCAAAGCATCGATAAAAACAAGTTTCAAATTCACAACCATGAATCTCAAATTGAATACTACCTAGCAGTTGTATTTCCTTAGCCTGTTTGTTCTTCCAAGCTCTTAGATAACTATTTTATACTTCCTCCACTCTCCTTAAACCTGTAATAATTCCTCTTTCATCTTCACTATCTCTTTTAGTGCGAAGATAAAAGCCATCAGACGAGAACTTCCACGAACTTTCACTACCATATCTACCACCAAAAGCTTCTATGCCTGTACACTATCTTCCCTCCAAAGTCTACAAAAGGACGCTCACCATTTGTGGCAGTTACATAATCTCTAGTCACATTACGAAGGGGTGGAGTCTAGCCTGTCTATCTGGCATAGCCAATGAGGCCTCTGTGTGGGGTTGGCCTTCTCCGAGGATTCTGGGAGTTCCTCTCTTCTTTCCTACAAGTAGGAGACACTCTCTGCTTTGTCTTCCTGCTGACAAGCCAGATGTGCTACGCTGACGGAGCCAGAGCCCTGGGGCTGGAGGAGCCACATAGAGACTCACACCAGTGCTGAGAATGCTTCCACTGCCACTGGATCCATAAGACTTTCCACCCACTGGCCTGCGATCTTCCAGCATTCGGCGTCATTGCATGTGCTGCGTGAGTCTGAAGAATTTGTAGACTGGTAATGGACATATGGGTTAATAATCGGATTTATGGACTTAACCTGGACTGGGATGGGATGTTTCTTAATGTACCAATGCTCTTTGATATAAAGTTCTCTCTTACACACATATGAGTGTCTATGAATTTGTTTCTCTAGTCAACCCAGACTAACACACCTTCCTAACTAAAGTCAACCCCTTCTCTTGTGAATTAGGTCCCAGGCCTACTCTTCTCTGTTGAAAAACTTAATTCTAGCCTTCTCTTCCTGTCCACTTAACAAGGGAAAAAAATTAAAAGCCCTCTTGACTCCACTTTTCTGTCCACTTGCTGTTAGCTGCGCTCTAGTCAGTTCCCGATCCATGGAAACCCATGCACAATGAAACTAAATGCAGTCCAATTCTGTGTCATCCCTTCAATTTAGACAGTTGTGATTATAGGGATTTTGTTGGCTGATTCTCTACAGTAGATTGTCAAATCTTGCTTATTAGTCCATCTTAGTCTAGAAGCTCTCTCTCTTAAAAAAAAAGGTCTGGAAGCTCACTTGAAATGTGTTTAGCATCATAACACCAGACAAGCTCCCGTGGCTATGCCAGAGGTGTATTGGCTGACAGTCAAACCCAAGTCTTCTGCACGGAAAGCAAGATTTCTAACACACAACTACCACTGCCTTCACTTCCTCTCCACTAAAAACAGTTCTATTCTTCTTTGCAGAGAAACTCAAGTTATTTACATTTCCTCAAATTCTCCCCTTACTCCCTCTTAAACCCATTTTCACCAAGGATTCGCCCCTATATTTCTACCAAAACTATTTTTTCAAGGTCACTAAGAATACCATAGTACCAAACCATGGTTTCCCCTACACTTCTGGCTGCTCTATCTCAGACCCCTTTATAGGTTCCTCCTTAATTCTCCATCTTCTCAGCTCTCAAGTACCTGGGACTGCCTATACTTAGACTTCCCTTTTCTTTATGGAGGCTTGTTTTCTAGGAAATCTATCTTCTCTCATTGCTTTAAAAACCTGTATGCTGAAGATTACTAAATCTATATGTCCAGTCCAGACCCCTGCCCTGACATCCACATTCATATTTAAGCTATCTTAAACTTAACA